GGAAGCAGGATGGTTAACTTCCCATCCCCTGCTAATTAAGAGACTCCCAGGAGCAAATTTGAGTGTGGGCTGCAGGAGGGAGGGCACGGATGCCTTCCTGCACAAGAAGATATCACACACACATTGTTGGATTTTGCCAAAATAGTTTGTTAGCCTGGAAATTATATCATTTGGCTTGGAAACCTTTCTCCTTAGTTTAGGATGTTTAGGTGTTCGTTGTGATTGCTCATCTGGAGAAAGCAGCACACTGCGCATTCTGAAGAAAGCTTTTTGTGTTAATGTGCACTAGCGCTAAGTCTAGCTTTTTCTTTGAGCACTTGCCAATTCGAATAAGGCCGAAAGGAATTAAGTGGAGGCATAGATTTCCATGCAGTTGTAAAAAAAGATTGGACTGGTGCAAGAGGGGTGGTGTACCCTTGTCCATCATAGAAACCAACCAGGCTACCAATGGATGAGGTTCCCATTTTGCCCCGGGAACAAAAATACAACAGGCAGTGTGGTGGAGACACATGTTTCTCTTCTGCCAACTCCAGGCTAGTCACTTACATGGTTTTACAAGGCTACTGAAGACAGATCCCAAATTAAACTCTGACTAAAACTGGACCAAAGATAAATAAAGCTAAAATAACAGCACAATCCTATGTTGGTCTACTCAGAATCACTGGGTTCAGTTGCCTTACTCTTAGGCAAGTATGCATGGTATTGATTGGCTACATACTAATTCTAGGTACCTGTAATTCCTTTTTGCCTTTTTTTCTCATAGGGAGAGTTCAGCTAAAAGAAAGTTTGAGTAAGGATTGCAAATGCTAGAACATAACTTCATTTCTCAAACCACTTTTCAGCACAAGCCACATTCTTTCAGAGTTTAATGTTAAGCAAATACTGATCATTACCAAGAAAAACCCCAAACCCCAAAACAATAACAGCAAGCAATTATGAAAATGCTGGCTTTTGGTTGTATTTGCCGCTGGCTGAATCATTTATTTAATCTCTCTTTTAAAAAGCCAATCAATGTTTTACCAACAATACAAACATGTCATTGTAGCACAGCAATCCTGTGCAACCTCATGATCATCATACAAGGTAGTGGAGTTGGTGTCCATTTCCAAGTAGCTATATATGCTAAAGGGACTCTGTCACTGATCTCACAGTGGGTATTTTGAGGTACTGTAAAAGGAATGTCAAATTCAGATTTGAGTGGAACACAACTTAATTAAAATAGATTCACAGGTTCCTGTATATCACCAAGGATTTGAACCAATACAATGGTTTCTCAGCGCATGTTTTACCAGGCAAGTTGTGTATAACGAGTATCTGCTAGGTAATATAGGACTCTAGATGCTTTCTATACAGCAGAATAAAAGAGACACCTGGTAGAAAACAGATTTCTTTTTTTTACGATTTCAGAGGTAAATCAGAATAATAAACTGCTGAGCAGAGATTTTTATAAAAGAGAACAGATGCTTATCACAGCACATATGTTAACAACCTTAGTTATTGTCTGTATGTTTGCATGTAATCACCAACAGTTTTCTTAATTGAGAGTGTTAATAATATAATCATCAAAAGTTTTTTGTTTCTAGTTTCTCTCTGATCCTATCCACAACCACATATGTTGTTTGTGTGTGTGTGCGTGTGCGCGCGTGCATGTGTGCGCGCGCGTGTGTGTGCACGTGCATGTGAAAATCATCAGTAGCATCTTAGTACTGTAGAGCTGGAAGGGATTCTATGGATCATCAAGTCCAGCCCTTGTCAAAGAGGCACAGTGGGGAATCAAATTCTCAGCCTCTGGCTTCACCGTCAGACACCTATTTCTGATTATGCTCCATGTATTTGACTAAGCATGTTGTAATCCATGACAGTTCATTCTATAATGCATCTGTACTCTTGAATGTACCACACATCTCTTTGATCTTCTGCTGCACTATGGGCTTACCTGGCTAGCATGAAAAGTCATGAACAACAGCAGTATCCCACTTGTGGAATCCCTTTAGATAATACTCGGAAATCATGATAAACCACTTAACTTTCCTACCACAATGAATAATAACAGCAATAGTACTGATATGCTTCCCCACCCTTTTAAACCAGTAAAGCTGTGCTGATTTTTACATTTCATAACATGTTAAGATTTGTTGTCCTGATCTGTTGTCGTTCATGTCTCAAGATATTGTTTATGCAGGCTCTGAGATCAAAACTCACCATAATGTTAATTGTACAGGAAGGTTATACAGTTCTCATCTCACTAATGATCATAGATAAATCTACCCAATAAACAAAAATCACCAGTGACTTCATAAATGTATCAGGATGGAGAAAGTTTTTAACAAATCTCAACTGTAAAGAGCTAGATAAGTTTAACAAATCTGGACTCTCTTCTTGCTGGTGGAAAACAGAGAGAAATTTTACTCTATTCCCTTGAAATATTAAACCCTAGAAAAACAATACGAATGTAGCAAATATGCAGTTCTTCCCTCTGTAGAACTCCAGTTGCCCTCTCAAGAATGCCAAGCAGCATGGGGTACTTCACATATTCTGTGATTGGCGTGCACTTTCATTTGGAATCTGCTTGGGGATGAAATTGTTGGCGAATGCTGTGGAAATCCTGATTGTGCAAAAAAACAAGAAACTTGAAACAAAAAATTGCTTTCTTCTAATGATGCCATGCTCTTGGCTTTGCAACTGTTTAATGATGTCGCTAATTGTTTTATGTTTCAAAATGTTGTGCAGCAGCACCCCAAGCAACTCAACAGGGGTCCTTTACAAATAAAATCATCATCATTATTATTTCAGTATTTGCTGAGCAAATGTATTAAATTATGTCGGAAGTCTTCCATAACAGCTTATTTTGACATGACATTTCCATTATTTATCAACAGAAAACATTTTCTATGAATTGGTGGTCCTAACTACTGTCGTACTACCTGCACTACTTCTTGATCCATTTCAAAAAAACAGTGACAGCATAGTATATTAACCAGGATTCAGATCACAACCAGGTATGCATGTAGTGCCAGCATAATGTAACTCTGTGCTTGTTTGCTGTTTGAAATGTTAATCTTTTATGTCTGTTGATATACTGGACACTAGATGGCTAAAGATGTGAACTCTTTATGGATCTGAAGCCTGAGTTAGTAGACAGCTATGATTACTGCAACTAGAACTCTTTTGAGCACAATTTAAAGTCCTTGTTGATTTAAGATATATCAGCTCAAAAATACACTGCAGTGAAGCATTTTGAAGCCCCTCAAGATTCCTCACCTCCAGGTGAGAGCAAGACAATATTTTCCTTCCCTTAAAATCCAGGTAAGCAGTGTGGTGCTGGAGGAGGCTCTTGAGAATCCCCTGGACTGCAAGGAGAACAAACCTATCAATTCTAAAGGAAATCAACCCTGAATGCTCACTGGAAGGACAGATCCTGAAGCTGAGGCTCCAGTACTTTGGCCATCTCATGAGAAGAAAAGACTCCTTGGAAAAGACCTTGATGTTGGGAAAGTGTGACGGCAAGAGGAGAAGGGGATGACCGAGGATGAGATGGCTGGACAGTGTCTGCGAAGCAACCAACATGAATTTGACACAACTCCGGGAGGCAGTGGAAGATAGGAGGGCCTGGCGTGCTCTGGTCCATGGGGTCACGAAGAGTCGGACACGACTAAACGACGACGACGAAGCACTGCAAAATGTTTCTGTTGCAAAACCAGTAGCTTTTGTTCATAAGAAGCAAAGTATACATAGACAAGAAGAACTGGCTGTTAGGAAAAATGCAGACAACCCATCCATGGCTTCACTTTCTTAACTATCCATGTAACAAAGCAGTTGTCCTAGCTTTATACAGTGCCATTCTATTAAAAAAATGGACCAAACCTTCCTTTCATCACTGCAATAAATAGTATCCAGACAGCCTGCTAGTTGCTCCTTGGCCTTGTTGGAAAGGAGAATCATGTAGCAGTTCTTTTTCCCCACTTGCAAGGATGAGACAAGCAATGATTGACATCTCTGTCTGACAACAAGCCAGAAGAAGGCAATGAATTCCAAGCATAATACTAGTTAGAATCCATCACTCATTTAAAAAATCTTGAGGATAGGTGAGACCAAGGTGCAGCCAATAGATGTTGGTATCAATTCAGGAAATGCAAAGATGTCAAAAAATACAGGGGATGCAATAGACATTTCATAGACCACTACAGATAGAGGATATTCTGCAATATAATATGCATGTCTCAGAATAAATGATGAATGCAGTTTGATATATACCTTTCCAGTTAGATAAGATGATAACAAAATTCCATTGGTATGTCCCCCCTATTAGTAACATTTGGATAAGTCTAGTTGGCTGGATAGCGTAGTTGGTTAGGTATCTGGCTATGGAGCCAGAGGTAGGGAATTCAATTCTTCACTGTGCCTCCTAAGGGAAGAGCCAGCCTGTGTAGTCACAGGAAATCTGCACTGTCCCAGGATGTCCCCAGAAGAAGGGAATGGTAAACCATTCCTGAATACTCTCTACCTGGAAAACCCTGAAAAGGGTTGCCATAAATCAGAATTTACTTGATGGCACATAATTATTATCTGCTGATACTATTATTCTCTGTTTTACATGTGTGTGAACTGAGAAAGGAGCCCGGTAGGATTGTGGAGCCTGTGGCATCCAGATGTTGATGTGCTACTGTTCCCATGATCTTTCACCAGTGACCAAGCATAGTTAAACTAATGAAAATAGTCCAAAAGGTTCCCCAGCAAGGGTATACAAGCCTATAAATAGCTTGAAAGGTACTTCATCAGATCCTATTTTTGGCAGGGAACAATGGTTATGTATTTTCAAAGAGTACCTGTATAAAGGGTGTTATACAAAGTCCTATAAGGAAACATTTAGCCCAGATTACCAGGCATTCTGTGAAAAATCTTGATGTTTATCTTGGAAAGAGGAAAATAAAGTAATCAAGGGATCATAAAATGTCTTCTCCTTTTCCAGGTACTTTGCATTTTAAAAAAAACACAGATGTTCAAATACAACCACTCATCTAGTTCCTGTCGTTTTAATGCCATATACATTCTTAGTATCATTTCAGATTGAGAGAAAAAAGATAGCTCTTGCTGATCTTGAAACATTCATGGCCCATCCAAACTGGAATTTTCTTTAGAGTCCTCTTTAACACCCATCACTTCTTCTGCAGGTAAAAGTTGTTTGGACTTGGAGTGAAAGTTTCTATTGGACTTGGAAGGAGCTAAATTATTAGGAGTAGCATAGCATTTTGAAAACCATAAACACTCGTTCTCAGCTGTTCGCTTTAAAGAGACACAGCGATCTACATGGCTTTTGGGAAATCGCCCCCAAGGGGACCGTTCAGTATGTGGATACTGGACAAATGAAGTTTGGTAAATGCTATGGTGGCTAGTATCACTTGGAAATGGCTCCTGAGCTTCCAAAAAGTAATCCTGCGAATGGTGCTGACACAACTCTTGCTGAAATTTCCTTAATCCAAGCCCCTAAAAGAAGTGGAAAGAAACATATACAATATTTCAATTCTTATCTACTATTTTAGATAACTGACAATACCCCCTCCAATGTTTTGGAACCATTAAAAACAGGGAGTGACTTGATAATGTTCTGTAAACAAATCATTCCTGAAAATTTTATCCTCATCTACTGTAATAGAGAATGGAATGAGTACACTGTCATGTATCTGCGGTAGAAGCACGTGGGAGCCAGGACAAATGGCACCTTCTCAAGGTGAAAAAAGCTTTATAATTGTTTGCCTTACTCACTGTGGAGGAGATGCAATGGCACAGTTTTTTAAACGTGTGCCGACTTAAGTTGAAATTTATAAAGTAGTCCTGATACATGCTTCATTATCTCCATGTCACCTATTAGAGAAGATCTGGACTTTTAAAATGAATGTTAGATTGGATGGCTATGCATTTAATAAAGCTTTTAGTGTCATTGTTCTGACATTATATGGGTTTAGAGCTTGTAGTCTATGTCAAATGTAGTGTCAAAGCCAGATATAAATGTATCAGAAAGACAAACTTTCAACTCAGTTGGATTTGCTAAATAAGCATTAGATAGTCTATAGCTGAAATCTTGCTTCCTTGCAAAGTAAATCACATCTAAAATAGGCCCACTGAATCAACAGAATTTATGGATGAGCTGACTTATCAGATCCCCAGTGGGCCCAACTGAGTTGCGACGTACTGTGCTGAGCAGCAGGATTTCAGCCTATGTACACAAAATACAACTAACCAGACTTTCACCTTGCATCAGGAAAAAGCAATTTGCTACATCTGTATCTTTCAAATATGTCAATTTTGTAGACAAGGCATTGCAATATTCTGGATTTGATTTTCATGATTTTTTTTCAATCCGGAAGAGGAATGCTTCGAAAGGAGAATGAATTGATTCTATTGTAAAAGATATAAATCATGGAAGAAACCAACAATTATGACTGTATTTTAAAATATAACATAAACTGAATACTTACAGAATCTAAGTACTCTCCTTCATTCAATAAGCAATGTCTATTGTCATGGACTGAAAATGGAAACGTGTTTACTGGTTTCTAAAAAGAGAATTAAGAAGAAGATGGCATTCTCTTGGGTATATATAACAAGAACATGGCTTTCATGTTCTGTGCAATCAAAAATTGAATGCACGCATACATTCCTTTATGCTACATACTCATTTGTAAGCATTTTGAAGGTAGAGTACACACATTATATTTTACTCGAAGTTTATAAGAGGATATATTCTTTCCAAATCATCTACACTCTTCTGTAAGCACTCAGACCTTTGAATCAGATAAACTTTATTTATATGGGTTTAAATTATTAAGCAAATATCAAGATTTATTTTACTGACTCACTACTGAGTACTCAGCTAATAAAAGCTGAACTTCAAAGGAAGTTCATAATTAAGTCAACCTGAGATTTATGAGCTAAGTGCCACCCACTGAGAAGACGCTATATATTATATCACATTACTGTACTATACATTTAAAATGGCTGCATCCCAAATCTAGAAGGCATGTGGACACATGTTCAATTTTATTGCTTTTCATTTTCAAGAACTGGTCTCTTGTATTAAGCAGCAGCAAGGAATAACAGTCTAAAGACTTTAAGTAAACCAGTGGAATAAAGTTAACTCCTTCCCTCATATTCAGCTAAATGCAAATAAAGAGCAAGATGCTTACAGTGTAAGAATCTTAAAGATATACTCATACAGGGGATCAAACAGCCTGCTACAGAAACCTTAGTCCTAAAATCTAAACAAAGAACAAAAGTTCTAAAAAAATCTAGATGGAGACCAAATTCCCCTCTTGCAAATCATCAACAGTTGAAGGGCCACATTTATTGATTGATTGATTGATTGCATACGTATACTGCCCAACACAGTGACATGCACTGTTCTGAGTAGTTAAATATAAGCTCCCCAAATCACACCCCATAATCAAAGAAAAAAAAACACAAGACACAACCATCCTAAACAAAAATTGGAAATTAAAGCCCCAACAAATAATCCCAAACCCAACGATGGTGGTGTAAGGTTAATCCAGATCCCACAGCTACCTCAGGAGATATTTTAAATACTTCCTTAAAGAGTTCAGCATCTTCTTAAAGGGGGGAGGGAGGGAGGAGGCCTGCCAAATCTACAATGCAAGTCTGTTCCACAAAGATGGGACCACAACTGAGAAGGCTTGACTCCTGGTGGAGACCTTTTTTGCCTCTCTCAGCATGGTCACCCATCAGAGTGAGGCCTGGGAAGACCAGGTGGAATGAGCAGAAGTTTTGGGGATGGGAGACGCTTCGACAAGTAATGAGACGCCAAACCATTAAGGGCTTTGTACATTAGTACAGTACCAAAACTTTTGAATCTGGCTCAGAAACAAACAGGAAGCCAATGTAGTCAAGCCAGGACTGGTGAAATGTAATCAAACTTATTCAGACCAGAAATCAGTCTGGCTTCTGCATTTCGCATCTGCTGTAGCTTCTGAATCAGCTTCAAGGGCAGCCCAACATAGAGAGTATTAGAGTAGTCAATCTTTGAGATCACCAGCAAATGAACCAGTGTCATCAAGAACCTCCTGTCCAAGTAGGGGTGCAACTGGGCAATCAGTTAAAGGCTGACATAGACACAGCCAATATTTGATGCTCCCATGAAAGAGCCAGGTCTAGGAGCACCCCAAGTTACAGACTCAGTCACTAAGAGGGACGATGACTTCATTCAACCTAGGCAGATGCCCCTCAGTTGGTAGTGGGGCAACAAAAGGTGCACTGTCTTCTCTAGGTTCAGTTTCAACTTATTAGCCTTTGTCCACTCCACAATCATAGCCAGGCAGCACTTAAGAACCTGGAAAGAATAACAGAGATGGAGCTGTGTGTCACCAGCATACTGAAGGCAACATACCCCAAAACTCCACATAACCTTTCCCAGCAGCCTAACAAAGATGTCAAAAAGCATTGCGGAGACAGACAATTCCTGAGGTAACCCACAACTGAGCATCCACAAGGATGACAATGCTTCCGCAAGTTGAACTCTCTGGACTCAAGAAGGATCAGAACGAGCTGAGTACCAGACCTCCGATCACTAAGTATTCTGAGCCTATCCAGCAGGATCCTATAGTTGAACATATCAAAAACTGCTGAAAGATCAAGGAGTGCCAAAACACCACCTCCCAGTCAGGGCCAAACAATTATCTCTTTCACACAATGATCTCTTTCGCAATGATGAGTTGATCACAGTGATGTCCCTTTCCACTATGATCTCATTGGCTGACTTCAGGAGCCATACATTTTACATTTTCAAAAGCAAAATTCCAAAGTTACCAATGCATTTTACTTATACTGTAATTACATATTTCTTTTTGTTGGATTGGGTAGGGCTTGGGAAACAAGGGGCCTTGCAAAAATCTTTTTCAGCTGCAACTCCCACGATCTCTCTACTGTAGTTATACCATCTGGACCTGATGGAAATTACAATCCTAGTGTGTCCAGAGCAGTGGTCCCCAACATTTTTGACACCATGGAACAGTTGGGGGAGGATGGGGTCCGTGTGCGGGGAAGGTGGGGAACCCTCCGTGCTGACACATATGTGCAAAGGGGCGGGGGCACTCATGGGGCTCACATGCACCTGTGCAAGTATGTGAAGGGGTTGTGCCGGGGGAGTGTTGCGGGGGGATCTAGGGTCCATGTGCGGGGAAGGTGGGGCACCCTCCGTGCTGACACACATGTGCAAAGGGGTGGGGGCACTCACGGGGCTCACACGCACCTGCACATGTATGTGAAGGGGTTGTGCCAGGGGAGTGTTGCGGGGAGATCTGTCTCCTTGGCCCAGTCTGGCCCAGGCCACTGACCGGCACTGGGCTGCAGAATGGGGATTGGGGACCCCTGGTCTAGAGGGTCCCACATTTTTTACTCCTGCCCAAATGGTAAGCTTTACAAAAACCCATGTGCTTTGCTTCCCACTGCATTTTCTTTCTCACTGGACATTCAAGCGGCCCCTGTTGCCATTTCTTGTGTAGATGCTGCTATAATGTTCTTCCTTCATCTTGTACACAGTTCTTTTCTTTGTAAAATATACATTCCTTTCACACAGGCATTAGTTACACTGAGCCACATTCAATAACTGTGTGGAATACAGGAGGATGTGAAAACCTTTCGACACTGTTTGACCTTGCCTAAATTTATGCCCCATCTTATTTTGTATAAGACTATAAAACTTGTGTTCTTCTTTCAAATGAGTATTTGTCCACATTTTAATAGATTTTTCCTAAGCCACCCATTTATTTATATATTATGCCTGATGTATGCATTTTCCCATTGAGTAAAATGTACTTGTGCATATTTTCTCATTTTGTGCACATTTGAGTCATTTGCATTTTAAAGTCTACCCATTGTATTGTGCATTGATTTATTTCTCTGAAGCACTGTTAGCTTTCCCAATGTCTAAATTATCCAAGCAATTTGATTTTTTTTCCTGCAACCAGTCTTGACAAGTACATAAATAATCCAATAAAGTTATTTCCCATAGTGAAACAATCAGTAGTGCTGTGGGGCTAAAAACGTCCTGCTGGAATCTTGCTTAAGTCCCCACAAAAGCTCCATTCTTACTCGTTCTATAGAATAACAGTCACAATTACACTAGCACTGTTCCCCATACTGAAGGGCAGACTGAACTACCACTCTGTTCCTCTTTAAATCATGTTTTGTCCTGCTCCTATCTTTAGATTTCCATAAGATTCAAACTGACACCTGTACAGAAGACCAGCAGTCATGAGATCGAATCCATGCGATGGAGTGAGCTCCCGTCGCTTGTCCCAGCTCCTGCCAACCTAGCAGTTAGAAAGCACGTAAAAATGCAAGTAGATAAATAGGTACCACCTCAGTGGGAAGGTAACGGCGTTCCGTGTCTAGTCACGCTGGCTATGTGACCACGGAAACTGTCTATGGACAAACGCTGGCTCAATGGCTTGGAAACAGGGATGAGCACCGTGCCCTAGAGTCAGACATAACTGGACTAAATATCAAGGGGGACCGTATCGGTAATAAGTATGACAGCCCCACCATTCCTGATGTACTTGTGAGATCTGATCCTAGCCATCCAAACACAGATGTTATGAATTTCACTTGCTGATCAAAATAGGTTTCCATATGCTTGCAAGTGAACACTTTGCTATCTGGTCTGCACTCCAGCTACTACTGATTGCCACTGTTGCTCCTCAGACCATGGGGTGGGCATGTATGTATGTATGTATGTATGCATGCATGCATGCATGCATGCCTGCCTGCCTGCCTGCCTGCCTGCCTGCCTGCCTGCCTGCCTGCCTGCCTGCCTGCCTGCCTGCCTGCCTGCCTGCCTGCCTGCCTGCCTGCCTGCCTGCCTGCCTGCCTGCCTGCCTGCCTGCCTGCCTTTCCCTTGAAAGGGGACTGAGATCGCAGAGCCATTCAAATATGAATAACCACATCTCTAGTCTGGACACAGACTGGCAACCAATCTGAAGCTGTTGTAATAAGGAAGTTATCCACTCCTTGTAACCAGCAGCGGTAAGTGACCAAAGTCCTCTCTGTTCCATAGCCAGACCTAAAGGCACGCTGAAGTGGATCTAGGTAATCTGCTTCATATATGAATCTCTGGAGCTGGGACACCACTAAACGCTCCAAAAATTAGCCTCAAAGTGGAATATTGGAGACTGGCCAATAATTATCCAATACAGTGGGCTTCAAGAGAGATGTTTTAACAAGTGTACTACCACTGCCTTCTTAAGGCATTGTCATACTTTGCCTTGTTGCAAGGAGACGTCCACTACTCCCCAAGCCCACTCAGCCAGTCCCTTTCTGGCTGCTTTTATAAGCCAGGAAGGGCATTAATGCAGCAGGGTAGACTTCTGTCTGGAACGAGGGAGTGA